TCACTTACTCTGTCCTTTGATGTAGTGGATGTTTTCACACTGATAACAGGTTCTCCTTTGGATTTATCCATGACCACTGTTCTCTCTGTTCCTTTACTTCCTAAATAAATCAGAAATGGAAAGAAACCAATTATATGACCTACACCACGCTCTCTAAAATGTGAAAATTGGCATTTAATCCTCCCCTCAAAATCAATTCTTTCACTCCACCTAATCCAGGTACTTCTTTTAAGCATTGCACAATTCCCCTTATTCATTCTGGATTTCCACCCACGTATCTGAAACAATCCTAGAATCTTTGGAAATATTATCTACAATGAAATATTCCTACATCAACATATCTGTATAAAAAACCACCAACCCAATTACCTGATTTAATAGTTTTAGACTGATCTGATGAACCAGACTTCTGGTCATCTTTATCTTTTTTTTCCTTTTCATCTTTATCTTCTGTCTTTTTAGCATCATCTTTTTGGTCAGATTTCTCATCCCTTTTAGCACCACCAGGTCTGTGGATAGATATTGATACAGATTAGAGTAATACAGACTAAGAGAAACAAAAATTCAAGGGAAATTCCAGCAACAAAGCAGAACTCTGATGTGATAACAATCATCATTAGATAATTAGAGTTCCAAACATTTCCTTCCACAACTTCTTGCACCATAAAACAAAATATTCAGACCATCCTGGGCAGTAGTCAACAAACTTGGCCAGGATTCAGGATCTCAACTGGAAGCATGAAGACAAATTCACACCACTTTGTGCTCAATACCCAGAGTTTCTTAGAGAACATCACAATGAACCATTTCTGTCAGGCAACTGGGTGAAATAATTGCAAAAATTTCTCAGCAAGTAGCATCTAAGAGAAGTTGTGCCTCAAGAAGATAACTCAAGGCAAAGCTCTCAGTGTTTAATTCACTCTCTTAGTGCCTCTTTCAGCAATGCCAGAGAGGAGAGCAAAGTGCTCAAGGGGAACATGATCTGGGAATAGATCTGGGAATAGATCTGGGAATAGATCTGGGAATAGATCTGGGAATAGATCTCAGACAGTTCTGGTTTGACTGTTTGGGACCTGGAGGAAGCCCTGTTCCAGTGGGACAGGAGGTGATGAGGAAACAGGGACACAGATCACAATTCTCACATGGTCCTTCCTACAGATTTAAGACAGGAAAGCCCCACAGTCATTACTAAACCTGAAATATGGCTAAATTAAAAGATGTGCTTGAAAATGCAACCTTCCAATGGCTCCTTAAAGCAGGCAACAGAAACATTTTAATTTAGGCACTGCACATCAACTGAAGTCTATCTTGTAGTAAAAGCTGAAAAAATCCACGTACTCCTCTTTTTCCATGTTTGCCACAGAAATTCTTACTGTAATTGAACTTTTCTCTGACATCAACACAGACTGAAGCACAGCAAAACACCTTTGGTAGGAGAATTTTTAACACAGTACCTCTCACTGACTGTTTCTCTCTTTGCTTCACTCTCTTTTTTTTCACTTGTCTTCTTCCCAGCAGGTTCATTTTTTGCCTGAAATTTATTTTGCACATCATCAGCTGAGAATGTGGCCTCGATCATTTGCACAATCTGGTGGGAATTCAGCATCTCTGAGGCCCAGTACTCACTTTTTCCACAGAAATGATTTTGCCATGCAGCTCTGTCTTGTGCAGGTGGGTGATGCACTTGGTGGCCTCCTCAGCTGTGGACATGGTGACAAAGCCGTAGCAGCGAGCGCCAGGACTGCGAGCGTTGGTCACCACCTTGGCCCCCACCACCTTCCCAAAGAAAAAATACAATAAAAATGGAATTATTCTCCCTGGGACAGATCCCCAAGGTTAAACAGCACCAACTGCAAGGTGTTTTTAACTCCTGGCCACTACCAGGCAGCAAAGTTCTGGTTTGGAGGTTGTGATTTTGATTCTGATGAACGAGGGTGCATCTGCTTGGAGCCAACCACGCTTCTGCTACCTGTGGAATGGTACAAAAGCTGAACCAAGAGGTGACATGTCACAGACATCTGTCATGAAAAAGCCTTGCTGCAGTGTGTCACCATTTCCTGTCTCACCTATGCCATCCCCCTCAAGGATGCCAACCTTCCCCCTCCCCCTGTGCCCTCCTGCCTGGCACCTTCCAGCAAGGCATTGAGTGATTGGCAGATCCCCCCCCGGCCTGGGCTCATTGGTTTGTCCCAGCGTCCACATCCCCTGAGCCTTCCCCTGCTCACACCTGGCTGGCCCTCACCTGTCCGTCCCCTCCCCTGTCCCTGGGGCTTAAAAAGGACACGAGGCCATGGGGTTGGGGTCTCTGCTCTCTGCCCTCACCTGTCCGTCCCCTCCCCCTGTCCCCGGGGCTTAAAAAGGACACGAGGCCATGGGGTCAGGCTCTCTGCTCTCTGCCCTCACCTGTCTGTCCCCTCCCCTGGTCCCTGGGGCTTAAAAAGGACACGAGGCCATGGGGTCGGGGTCTCTGCTGTGGTTCTGTCTCTGTCTGTCTGTCTGGAGCTGATACCACATTCAGAAATCTACCATGCTACAATAAACTCTGGATTAAAGCTCTACAGAACCCGCTCATTTTCTCTTCACTGCTGTCTGAACCTTTTCCACCAAAGGTAAACTGAGTTCCTATTTTGCCTGGACTTGTTCTGAGTGCCCAGCTGCAGCACCCAGCCAGCCAAAGGCATCTCTGGGGTGAAAAACACCACAGCTGCCACCTTTGGTCCAGCAGTGAGGCCAGACAAAGCCAGGCAGGACACACCCAAAACATTCGGGGTTTAATATTTAATAAAGCCTTTCTTGGGATTTGTCCTTGTCAGAAGCTGCAGTTTCAGCAACCAAAAGTACCCAATGGTTTTTGCTGCTGTGGAATGCAACAGGCAGAGCTGGATTGGTCTCCTGTGGGTGTTGGGATTTCCTGAGCACTCCTGGCAGAGCTGGCTCTTGCTCTCTGTCTCAGACACAGATCTTTGTTATTCATTCTTGTCTATTCTTACCTTAGTTAGCTTCTCAAGAAACCTTTTCTATTTCTTTTTAGTATAGTCTTAATTTCATACATACTATTTCATAAAGCAAAGTGATGCTGTTGATGTATAAAGTTAGATGCCTTTTCAAACAAATTTATTGTCACCTGGGCAGTCTTTCCCTGGAAAAGAATTCAATCTTCAGCTCCCACTGTGACCGTGGTCACAAAGGTTTTCAGGATGAAGAAGAGACAAGAATGTTGACTCCATGATCAGAAGGCTTGATTTATTATTTATAACAAATATATTATTATAAATTATATATATTATAAAATATATAAATTATATATAATATATATAATATATATTATATATAAATATATTTATTATATATAATATATTTATTATATATATATATTATATATATATGATATATGTTACATTAATGATACAAATCACTGCATCCTTCTAGCAGGAAACCTGTTCAAATATCTGTTGAATTAATAAATATAAATTTAATATGAACTGTGTTCTCAGTTACCTGTGCCAGTGACTGAAATTAAATTTATACACACAAAAGTGTGTGTAGTTACTGACTATTCCAAATAAAGGACCACAAATTTTATATTTATTTTATATATTTATTTCTATATAATTTATATAGAAATATGTATATTTTTATATATAAATAATATATAATATTATTATATATTATATAATATTTATATATTATTAATATAATATAGTATAATATAATATAATATAAATTTTTATATTTACTTCTATATATTTTTACATTTATTTCTATATATTTTTTATATTTATTTCTATATGTTTTTTATATTTATTTCTATATATTTTTATATTTATTTCTATATATTTTTATATTTATTTCTATGTATCTTTTATATTTATTTCTATATATTTTTATATTTATTTCTATGTATTTTTTATATTTATTTCTATATAATTTTATATTTATTTCTATATATTCTGGGCAACAGAATAAAAAACCTCAAGTCATTCAGTGTGGACTTTTCCTTGCTATCCCACAGTATTTTTTGGTAATTGGATTCCTTTCATGGGTACTTTCAGTGATGAGAGTTTTAAAAGTTTTATTAACAGTTTCAAACAACTTGTGCAAACAAACCAAACATCAAAACAAAACCAAAGCAACAAAAAGAAGCCCTTACCTTGCCATATTTGCTGAACAGATTCTTCAGATCTGTAGCTCTGGTGGTGGAAGCCAATCCACTCACCCAAAAGTTCCTACCAGAACTGCCAGCACTGCGACCTAGGTGGGAAAACAAACAGACAAAACCCAAACATACCCCAAATCCTAATTATTGGGATTAATTACTTGAATTGTTACGTGAATTAAAACAGAGCAGGCTCACAAATTTTTCATTTTTTAAAATCAGAGAACAAGTGAAATGCATTGTGTGATATTCTTCTCCCATGAGTTGCTTTGCTGAAGGTAAGGAGCATTACAAGTCCAAAAATTTGGGTGGAACTGTGAGTTTTGATATAGAAGTATTTGATATCATTCTTCAAGAAACCTGCCTGGATTAGGGCACCTCTGAATTAGTGAGGCCCTTGAAAACCTGCCTGGATTAGGGCACCTCTGAATGAATGAGGCCCTTCAAAACCTGCCTGGATTAGGGCACCTCTGATTTAATGAGGCCCTTCAAAACCTGCCTGGATTAGGGCACCTCTGAATGAATGAGGCCTTCAAAACCTGCCTGGATTAGGGCACCTCTGAATGAATGAGGCCCTTGAAAACCTGCCTGGATTAAGGCACCTCTGAATGAATGAGGCCCTTCAAAACCTGCCTGGATTAAGGCACCTCTGAATGAATGAGGCCTTTCAAAACCTGCCTGGATTAGGGCACCTCTGAATGAATGAGGCCCTTCAAAACCTGCCTGATTAAGGCACCTCTGAATGAATGAGGCCCTTCAAAACCTGCCTAATTAAGGCACCTCTGAATTAACGAGGCCCTTCAAAACCTGCCTAATTAAGGCACCTCTGAATTAGTGAGGCCCTTCAAAACCTGCCTGGATTAGGGCACCTCTGAATGAATGAGGCCTTTCAAAACCTGCCTGATTAAGGCACCTCTGAATGAATGAGGCCCTTCAAAACCTGCCTAATTAAGGCACCTCTGAATTAGTGTGGCCCTTCAAAACCTGCCTGATTAAGGCACCTCTGAATGAATGAGGCCTTTCAAAACCTGCCTGGATTAGGGCACCTCTGAATGAATGAGGCCTTTCAAAACCTGCCTGGATTAGGGCACCTCTGAATGAATGAGGCCCTTCAAAACCTGCCTGGATTAAGGCACCTCTGAATGAATGAGGCCTTTCAAAACCTGCCTGGATTAGGGCACCTCTGAATTAGTGAGGCCCTTCAAAACCTGCCTGGATTAGGGCACCTCTGAATGAATGAGGTCCTTCAAAACCTGCCAGGGTAGACCCCAGTAACTGCAGAAGAGTTGTGGGAACTGTGCCTGCACCCCACATGTGCTCATGCCTTTTTATACTCATTAATTTTTATTTTATCTCATTTTGATCCTAGCTCCAAGGGAATGCTGATGCAGAATTCAAAACCTGCCTGGATTAGGGCACCTCTGAATTAGTGAGGCCCTTGAAAACCTGCCTGGATTAGGGCACCTCTGAATTAGTGAGGGCCTTCAAAACCTGCCTGGATTAGGGCACCTCTGAATGAATGAGGCCCTTCAAAACCTGCCTGGATTAGGGCACCTCTGAATGAATGAGGGCCTTCAAAACCTGCCTGGATTAGGGCACCTCTGAATTAGAGTGGCCCTTCAAAACCTGCCAGGATTAGGGCACCTCTGAATTAATGAGGCCTTCAAAACCTGCCAGGATAGACCCCAGTACCTTCAGAAGAGTTGTGGGAACTGTGTCTGCACCCCACATGTGCTCATACCTTTTTATACTCATTAATTTTTATTTTCTCTCATTTTTAGCCTAACTCCAAGGGAATGCTGATGCAGAATTCCTCTCAAGGACAGCCATTCACCACCAAGAATCCAAGGAAATTTCTCTTTCTGCCCACACAGATCCACAGCTGGGATTCAGTCTGACCTCAGCTGAAGTTAGGAAAGACCTGGCCTAGGAATTCAGGAAATTAGACCTGGCCTGCTTAAACCATGCAAGAACCCAGAGCAGCCCTGGCCAGTTCTGCAGCTGAGGAATGAAGGTGTTTCAATAAATGCTGATGAAGTTGCCAAGTCTGAGCACCCACCATGAAGTGACTGAGGAGTGAACTGCAGCCCAGGCTCAGTGTTTGCATGCAGCACTCACACAAGGATTCTGTTTCCAGTCTCCTCTGAGATGTCTGTCCTGTCCTTCTGTCAGTCTGGGCAGCTCCAAGGCCTCAGTGAATGGGTTCACTTCAGCTCCTTGGTTCCATACTTGTTTTGGGGTTTTATGGAATTTTACAGAAGTCATTTTCCCCAGAACCTTTCCAAAATGCTGTTTTATTTGGGTGCCTTTCCATCTTCTACATCTCAGTCACTGGCACAAGTAACTGAGAACACAGTTCATATTAAATTTATATTTATTAATTAAACTAATGTTTGAACAGGTTTCCTGCAAGAAGGATGCAGTGATTTGTATCAATCCCTTACAAAATCAGGTGGGGTTTTTTTGGATAAAGGTGAGCACACTTGTGCCATGATTTATCTCAGAAGTGCATGAACAAAGGTTTGCCATGCACACAAACACATGGGAGATGCACTGTGCTGGTGTTTTAAAAAGCTGAGCCAAAGGCTTTGATGCTTTCATTCCACCCATTTCTATAATTTAAAAATTACTGTCTACAATTACTCTGGCACCAGAATCCTGGAGAAAGAACCAAGTGCTCATTTTTCTCTTTTCTGCTATTTTACCAATGAGATTTCAAAAGATTTTAAAAACTATGTTAATGACCTTTCTGATTAAGGATTTATCAGTCTTAATGTCAGGTTTTGCCCTCCCACAAGACTTTAAAAAGTGCTCCTGCAATGGTTCTGCATTTTCAAGACAAAGAAATAGTGGGACTTGAAAATATTTAACTTTGAACCAAGAGCAATGCAGGTATTGGGAGCCAACCATCAACACTGGAGAAATCTTTGAGATGTGCATCCATCAACAGCCAAACCCACCAGGGAGAGCTCATAAATTTAATTTTCTGCACTCTTGTTGACAAAGTTTTCAGAATTCTTGCATGGAATATGGAAAACTCTTCTTTCTAAATAAACCCTTCTCACACAAGTGGGCAAATAGCAATGTATGAGTCAGACCTGACTTGTACATTCTATTTTAGGTTCCTTCTGGCTCAGTCACTTTGCTCTGCATGCAGAGAATGTTACACAGCCATGCAGCTCCCTCTCACTGCTGCTCACAAAGCCAGAACATGAATAAATCCAATCTTGTGGAACACAGCACATCCACTGGAGAGAGGAATGCAGGAGCAAGGTGCTTTCAGACACCCAAATTCCTGAAGGCTGCTCTGAAAGCAAACCCAAGGAAGGGCATTCTCAGCCCACAAAAACAAAACACTCAAGTCCTCAGGTAAAGGACAGCATGCACAGAAAACTCCTTGAACTATTCTGCAATGAGAGAACTCAAGATTCCAGACTGGAAGCAAGAGGTAAATTGACCCTAACAGGTATAAATAACCCAGGATGCTGGAAAAAGCAGCTGACAGAGAGGTGAGTCTGGCTTGTAAAACCCCATTCAAACCAATCCAATTCCTCCTGTCCAGCTGGCAGTCAGATCTCACAAGGAGTTTCTTGATTTTTATAGGAATTGCTGGAACTTCCACATTTAGAAGTGCTCAAGTCCTGCCAGCAGCATGTAAGAGAACAGAGGTGGGGTGAGCTGCAAAGGCTCAGCTGCCTGGTGCATTAAAAGCAAGAAATATGAAAAAATATGAAGGCATCTGACACTGATCAAAATATATTCTTCTTGTTTATGATGCATATTTGCACCATAGATAGGATCTGTGTGGACAGAAATTTAATCAAATCAATATTGATTCAAGACAATATTGGTGGCATTTAAATATGTGAATGCTGGATCCCAAATGACTTCAGCAAAACAGAAGATGGGAAGGAGAAATCCAAGTGTATGGTAAAGCAAACAATTGAAAAAGGTTTCTAACAGCTGTTAGTGGGCAGCTCCAGTGCCAAAATACCATAATTGCCATCTATTGACATTGACCTTTAAAATCAAGATACAAACACAACAGTGCAAAGTACATGTCCTGAACAGCTGCATAAAAGGAAAATACTTATTTAGACATTACTAGGAAAATGCAGACAGAGATGAATTGAGGCTATTTAACAACTGCATAGATTGCAATCAATTTCTACTGAAATAACCCATCCAACACAAACAGCCACCCAAGCAATCACTGAAGTTTTACAGCTGAAATCAAACATACCTTTCTCATCTTTTGAGATTATCTTTGTATCTCTGTCCTCCTCACCAGGGCTAAAGACAAAACACCACATTATTCAAGTCAGAAAGAAAAGTGACTAAATGTAAACTATGAAAAAAGCTAAAATTAAATACCTACCAGAAAACATGTTGCAAACGAAAACACACCTTTGTATACTGGATTTAAGAAATCTGACAAGAAATAACGAAGTCAGATTCTTAAACAGACTTACATTAAGAAGATGATTACAAATAAGACTAATTTGGGAAAACAACCTTTGAAGGTTGAGGAAGGAAAGAAATCAAACCCACTGCGTTTAAAAAAAATAAAAATATCTGCACATGGAGAAATAAAAGAGACCTTTAGGAATAGGCTACAATTTCATCAGTCTCGGAGGCCAATTGAAGGAAACAGCTTATTGGCATCACTTAAGGACCAATGATAAAAGATAGCATCTGGTCTAGAACGGAGAAAAAACAAACCTCTTTTTCTGATCACCGCCCTCACTGGCTGAGGACTCTTTAGTGGCAGGGGAAGATTCCTCAGAATTAGCTTTGTCTTCTGCTCTCTTGCCATCTTCTTTGCTATCTCTGGCTTCGGCACCTGCGCCTTTCTCCGCTGTCTCCCCACTAGAGGCTTGCGGGCCTTGGGAGCGTTTGCTACTCTGATCGCTTAGGGTCTCTACCACTACACCTTCAGAGTCCGGGGCCTCTTCCTCGGGGCTCTGTTCACTTGTCTCCCCTTTTGCTACCACTAAACGCTTTGCTTCCTTCCTTGCCAAAGCTTGGGCCGATTTGCTGTCCAAAGCTAAAGCATCTTCCTCCAGCTGAGCGGCAGCGAGAGCGTCCTCTTCCTCAGCCAGCCTCTTGCCTGGCCCCGCGTTACTGGCTTCCTGCGCACGCGGCCGCTCCGCTTCGGGAGGTTCTTCGTTAAGTAGCTCAGATTTACAAGTTTCCCCCAAAATGTCGAGTATTTTCTCATTTTCTACGGATTTAACAGGAATAGAACGGCACAAGATTTAATCACCAGGGAAATACAGCAATCACAAATGTGGAACTGGCATGGCTGCCACACTAACACCAAGAGAACTGCTAAGCTACACAGAGATTGGAAAACCCTAGTGTACACAGTGTTACAGCTACCACGCTAACTGCTCTCTCACACCCTGCCAAATCAGCCCTAGCACCTCAACAGCCAAGAAAAATGCCCCCACAGATTTAACAAAAAACTTCGGGCTCAGCCTTCATATTCTTCAGCAAATCGTTCAGCTCTGTTTCTTCTCTAGTTAGCTTCCAGAGTCCGAGATGCTTAACTGAACGTATCAAGGCACTGAGAGTTCAATTTTTAAATTTCTGTGAAATTCTTTTAGCAGAGACAGTCCAACATGAGAACTGGGCATCTTCTGATGGTGCATGAGTGTGTTTGCAGTCCAGAAAGGGAAAAGTATCTGTATGAAATTTCCATGAAGAAACTCTCTTCTTTCTTCTGTATCCAGTAACTAATCTTTACACTTTAATGCCCTACAATATCTTTTTACTGCTTTCACTGCTCTCTACATAGTAACAGAGTTAAGGTGTGTGCAATATCACAAGATCTGTTTACAAGTAGAATATTTAGCTTTTAGAACTGTGATTAAACTTCTCTAAATCCACTTATGTAGTTTAACAGGTTTTTAAACCATTTCATTTCACTGGAAGTATTTCAAGCATCACTTCACAGATCTGGGGATATGATTGGGTTTCCAATCTCTATGACCCTGCATGATCTGGATTGTCCATTATAAAAATAATGCAAATTATGTTTGTTTGCTTGGGTTTTTTAATAGTTAATGGTTTAAAAAGTATTAGTTGAAAAGACAGGAATATGTTTTTCTTTAACAGTACCTGGCTCCAAGTGTAGCTTCTCCATTTTCTGTTCAGGAAAAAAAAAGACCACAGAATGAGGATTTTAGAAAATCTATTTTCTAACACAGAATAATACCACCTCCCTACTCAATCCCAAAATTGAAAACTAAACAAATTCATCTGTTACATTTAGCTCTTTTTTTCACCATCCACTGGAAATGAGCATTTTATATAAGTACCTTTTCTGGCACATTAAAGCCAGATCAAAATATCAGCCATAACTGCATTCTCCCAAATAAATCTGAATTATAAAAAGACCAATAAAGTATCTTTGTGTGCCACCACACCAAGTACAGAGTAAAAAACAAACCCAGCTACTGCTTCATAAAGTCATGTAAGAGAGAAGAAATCAGCAGTGCAAGATTTTTATCTGCATAATTGAAGGAAATCTTGAAATCTGAATAAAAAGTAGGGAAAAAACCACAGGGCACCCTCAATTCACACCCTCTATTGAGCAAGGTCTTGGGTTCTGT